GTTCAGCTCGGAGGGCGAGAAGGTGGAACTGGTCAGCGTCATCTCCACCGCTGAAGCCAAGGGCAGCGTCGAGAAGTGGCTGATGCAGGTGCGGGTGCGCTCTGGCTGGCTCGCGGCTCTGCCCGGCCGCTCGGTCAGGTCAGGTCAGGGCAGGGCAGGGCAGGGCAGGGCAGGGCAGGGCAGGGCAGGGCAGGGTCAGAGTCGAATTATCCGGACGGATGATATGCGGCCCGAATCGGTGACCAAATGAGGGGCTCCTCGCCGGGGTGTCGACTGGGCGCCACGGCATCCATGATTTTAACGCAAAGGAGTGTGCGATCTTGGCTGATTTACGCATACGCCTGTTTTGGTTTCGGAGTTGCCGGTGATAGCAGTGGGAGTGGTTCGCCCTCCGCTGACCGCAGCTGTCCACCGGAAGCCCGCTGAAGCGGTCTGTGGTCGTGCGGCAGGTTCAGGAGGACATGCTGGCGTCGGTGCGGGAGGTGATCGCCATCTCGTTCGAGGCGTACGCCCAGAGCGTGCGGAAGCACTGGGTGATCGAGTGGCCCGGCCAGGTCAGCACGATTGGCCGCGCTGCAGTGTTGGGTAGATGCTGTCTGGTTTGCTGCTGTCTTTTGTCGTTTGCTTTAGCGATGTCTGGTTTGGTTACATTTGACAGCGCGTCTGTCCCCGGCCAGGCGAGGGTGATTGAAGGGCTCGAAATCATCGTTTGATAACCGACGATAAGTCCTCGTTGCCAGTCAGCATGCGTGTATTCATATGGACATCCCGTCTGTGTTGAGTCGTCATAATTTTCTGCAAATCTGGCGGCGATTGCTACCAGAAAACCCCAATGCCCATCATGACCTGTTTACACATGCAGCGCGCCTTGCTGGTGCAACGCACTAGTACTGTATCTTCAAATGACAAAAAACACGCTCTGCTGTAACTATTGGACTTAGTGCTTTGTGCAGTAGTGGAGGAACCCCGTTAGAGTTGGGGGACAAGGACAATTTTATACTATTGTTTTCCATGCAGTGCCAGAGAGTTAATGTCATTTTTCAGAAGTTGGGGAGCTTGTCCGTTCTGTCCGCCACTTCCGGGTAACTGCCCCGCCTGTTTGGGGCGGCGCCGGCCCGGTCCTCGCTGGTACCCCCGAGGCCGCCCGCCAGTGCTCCGGTCCAGCGCCGGCGGTCCTCGGCGGTCCCTCTGCGGCCGCCTGCGGGGGCTCCGGTCCAGCGCCGGCGGTGCTCGACGGTACCTCTGAGGCCGCCTGCCAGGGCTCCGGTCCATCGCCGGCGGTGCCGCTGAGACCGCTCCTCCGCCGCAGGTGGTGCTCTGCGTCTCCCAAGTGTACTGGACGGCTGAGGTTCACCACGCCATCCGCGATGGCGTGCACGGCCTGCGCGAATACTACCGAAAGCTGCAGGTGGGCTGGTGGGCCGTCCGGCCGCCGACGGCCGCTCCCTCGTCCTCTCGCTCGCTTGCTCTCGGCCTGCCGACCGGCACACTGCTGTAGCCGCCTGTCCCGCCGCGTGACGCTGAGGCGCGGAGCTCAACGTCACAGCGTCAGGCGTGTGTCACTCAGAATTTACCTGGGGGGGGGGGGGGGGGGGTATGGTGCGGCGCAGCGGCGGCGGGCCCAGACTACAGCGCACCTTGGCATGTCGGAGAGATGACGAGTCATGACCACCCGCCACATATGTCGGTGCCGACAGTGCAGCGCCGCGTGCCTGTATCACCCGCGTCGCGTCCGGCGGCCATCGCGTCCCCCGGTAGGACGGCGTTGGTGTGGCGATGGGGTCTCACCAGACGCGCTGCCGCCGCCAGGACCAGATGAACGACCTCGTGTCTCTAGTGCGCGGACAGCTGAGCAAGCAGTCCCGAATCACACTCGGCGCTCTGGTCGTCATTGATGTGCACGCGCGCGACGTGGTGCAGGGCCTGGCCGATAAGGGCGTCAGCTCCGAGAGCGACTTCGAGTGGCTGGCCCAGCTCAGGTGAGGGCGGCGCGCGGAAGGGCAGTCGCCGGGTCTGCGCAGGCGGGCGCGTCGACAGACAGGTTAACGAATTGGTTCGGTCCTGCGACTCGAAGAAAATGCCCTTTCCTGCGGCAAGTGTTTGGAGTGAATTGCTTCCGGCCTCAACGAGGGAGTGACACTGTGTCCTCAGACACTTCTACTCCTACTCAGTCGCTGCCCGGCCATTAACCGCCGCCCCTGACCGCCTAACACGCCGTCGCTGCCGTCGCCGCTGGCCTGCGGGCAGGTATTACTGGGAGGAGGAAAACTGCAAGGTGCGCTTGATCAACGCCACTGTGCCGTACGCGTACGAGTATCTGGGCAACACGCCGCGGCTGGTGATCACGCCGCTGACGGACCGCTGCTACCGCACCCTGATCGGGGCCTACCACCTGCACCTGAACGGCGCCCCGGAGGGCCCGGCCGGCACTGGCAAGACGGAGACCACCAAGGACCTGGCCAAGGCGCTGGCCGTCCAGTGTATCGTCTTCAACTGCTCCGACGGGCTCGACTATATCGCCATGGGCAAGGTGCGTCCCCCTCGCCGCCCCCCTGGGTGGGGTGTGGTGCGACCGAGTGTCTGGAGAGTGGCCGCCCCTCCTGGGTGGAGAGTGGTGCGACCGGGTGTCTGGAGGGTGGCAGCTGTCGGCAGCGCATATGGTGTGGATTCTGAGGCACGGGCTGGGATCCTGGGGATTGGGGTCATTTTGCTGCTATCCCCGTGGTGCAAAATGGCGAGGGAACCTACGGATAGACAGAACAGCTCCATGTGTTGATGGGTGATTTCGGGATTATGAAAGCACTCTTGGATCTGTATTGGGCCAATGGGCTCTTTCATTCGGTTTGCATGTTGTTGTATGTGCTTACATTTGGGGCGGGGACCTACGCGTGAAAACTCAAACCGCATGTAAAATGGTAACCCGCCAGTGGTCAGGCACGTGGTGGTGTTCAGTAAGTCCCTGTCTGCCGCAGTTCTTTAAGGGCCTGGCATCGTCTGGCGCCTGGGCCTGCTTCGACGAGTTCAACCGGATCGATTTGGAGGTGCTGTCCGTGGTGGCTCAGCAGATCCTGTCCATCGTCAGGGCCGTCCAGGTAACGCGGCAGATGCTGTCTGTGGCATGGACCGCCTAGGTGAGATAACACATTAGCATCGTAGTGAGACCGGGCATCCACAATGGGGACCGTCCAGGCAGGAGGACATGACATCTGTGAACCAGCAGGCGACCTCCGCTCGTCTGATAGCCCGAATGGTGAGATGGTTGAATAATATACCGTTACCATAGTGGTGCGTACCAATAGCTTGGTGTGGATTATTTCGGGCTCACGGGTACAGAGCCGCGACTGAACCCCTCCCGCTACCTCAGTACGCTGGCAGGCCGGTGTGGATAGGTCCGTTTTCACGGGTAGAGAACTGCGACTGACCCCCCCCCCCCCCCCTCCCCCCCTGTTACCTCTGTTCTCTGGCAGGCCGGTGTGGAGACGTTCGTGTTCGAGGGCACCGAGCTGCGACTGAATCCCTCCTGTTACGTGTGCATCACCATGAACCCGGGCTACGCCGGACGATCAGAGCTGCCTGACAACCTCAAGGTCAGCTACAGCGCCAGCCGTGTCGGTGCAGGCACGGCGTGCTGGATGTTTGTGTTCTTGCTACTTGTGATATGACGAGCGCCGTTCGAAACGTGGGGGGGGGGGGGGGTTGGCCTTGTGTCATCTTTGCCGTCGAAAGCCGTTTTTATGTCCTTGGCAATTTGCCGTTTCAAGAACAGTATGCATCAGCAACAACGTTGTGGAGTGGCTTTGTTTGTGAGGAGCAGCGGACACTTCCGTTAGGTTTCCAAACCAACATGCACGAATCCCGTAAGGAAAAAAGCGAAATGCAGAATGGTTGTAAAAACCCGATATGCTCTTCCTAGTGGTGGAGTTCCGTTGGCTGGCAAACGCGCTCGTCAGTCCCAGCATACAGCCGCGGTATTGGGTCTGCTCACCGGCTGCCGGTCGTCAGGTGCTGTTCCGGACGGTCGCCATGATGGTGCCCGACTACACACTGATCGGCGAGATCTCCCTGTACTCGTTCGGCTTCGTCGACGCCCGCAGCCTCTCTGTCAAGATCGTCTCCACCTATAAACTGTGCTCGGAGCAGCTGTCTTCGCAGTTTCATTACGATTACGGTAGGGTGTATGGCTGTTCTGAATGCACCCTTCCCCTTTTTTCAAGCATTGTCTGTTGATAAGCGTTCGGGTGGCCGGTCAAATGCGACGCGCTCGGCTGAGGGGGTGAAATTGACCTCCCGAACGGGGCGTAAATCACAGGGTAAGTAGAATAGGTAGGTGCCTAGGTCGTGACCATCGGGTCCGATAAGGTCAAACTTGAGATCGGGCCCGAGGTTTTTTGAAGTATGCTCACATAGCAGGTTTGAGGCCAAACGCCTAGCGTAGCTATGAGGGGGACTGGTGTTGATACCAGGTCGTCAGGCCACTGACCTTAATTGTGTTTTTTGATGCAAAATGACTGAAACATCTCCGAAACATTATTCGTATATAAATTAACAATCACGCCCAAAAACTTTCCCACGCGGTAAACTTTCCTTTCCCAAAAACTTTCCTTGAATCCAAAAGTAGGGATCAAAAATCTTTCTTGAACTCCATGAAGTCAATCAGAAATCAGTCAACGCCATTGTGATAAAGGTGTTCAAAATTAACGTCAAAAGATATCGTGAAAACAATATTTATAATAATAAAGCGCTTAGTTTTCACCTTCATCTGACCCTTGAGAACGAATCGCAATTATAACTTCAGTTATCTAATTTTCTAAGAAACCATCTCAATGTTTCATGACTGTGTATAACACTACGCTGTCACATCAGGCTGAAAATCCACTGTAATTGTCCCCGCTGATGCCATGGCCCGGTTCTAACCGGGTACAAATCAGAGACCTTACAAGGTGTAAATGACTTTTTGGTACCCAAAGAAGGGCTATTCAGTTGAGTTCAGCTATACCAAGCATGGCATGACTGCGCCGCATCAATAGGGAGCTATTCTGAAATTACCAAAGGGCTCATGTTGACTCATTTTCCGGAGCGCGTGTTTAGTTTTAGCACCATGCTTTCATTTACTGTATGAGGAGTGCACGCCCGATGGTGCGTCTGGACATCGTCTGCAGTGAGGTGGCAGTGTTTGGCACCAATTCCATATTTGGGATAAGTGTTCTTTCTTGTAGTGTGTTATCTTCCTTCGCCCATGCTCTGTGAAATCCCGAAAATATCGCATTGCACGATCTGTCCCTCGCAGTGTTTGAGATAATGGACGGATGCTTCCAGCTGCGTCTACAGGCTCTGTGTTATGCGTCGCCGCTTGGCGGCCGGTGTCGCCTGGGGCTGGGCCTCCAGCGCCATGAGGCCGGGTGTGCGGGCCGGCCCAGCGCGCCGCCCAGCCCGCTGTGACGCCCTGCCGCCGTCGCCCCGTCCTCAGGCATGCGGGCCGTGAAGGCCGTGTTGGCCGCCGCCGGCAACCTCAAGCTCAAGTACCAGCAGGAGCGGGAGGACATCCTCATCCTGCGCTCCATCATCGACGTCAACTTGCCCAAGTTTCTGGCGCACGACATCCCGCTCTTCCAGGGCATCGTTTCCGACCTGTTCCCGGGGGTCACGCTGCCCAAACCCGACTACGGCAAATACGTCGAGTCCATCCAGGAGGTGAGCCGACGCGACCGGCCTCCGCTGGCCGTCCGCACACGGGGGACGACGCAGCGGCGGAGCCCGCCAGTCACCGCTGGCCGTACTGAATCGCGCGGGCGGCCACTCTATCGGACCGCATGGTCGTCCAACGACGTACGCCACTCAGCTGGGTCAGGCTTCCACATTCAGGGACTATGCGCCTGATGACCACGGCACAACCCGATCGTAGTCGGCTGTAGATGAGCAGTTGACGGTGGCAGCAGGTCCAGGGATGGGCGGTGGCGGCGCCGGTGCTGCGACGCCGACGCGGCTCTGACACGGCACGCTCCCGTCAGGCGTGCGCCTCCAAGAACCTGCAGCCGGCCGAGGTGTTCGTGGAGAAGGTGCTGCAGGTGTACGAGATGATGATCGTGCGCCACGGCTTCATGCTGGTCGGCGAGCCGTTCGGTGGCAAGACGTCCATCTTGAAGGTGAGAGCGCTCGTCTTGTACCTGTTCTAGGATTTTGGGTGGTATGGCCACGGATCGCTTCGTAAATAGTCTTAAGAGCTATGCAAAACGGTCCAGGTCAACACCACGGCTCGTCAAGGTGTTGACTCTGACCCGCCACAAGCTAGGGAATGCTTCACCATTGCCTGAGTGAAATAACTATCACTGATTCCTATACTTCATGATATGTGATGGCGACATGCATTTATGCTTTTGTGTGCATTTATGTGACGTATGCGGGGAACGTCTCCCTCTGCGCTCTCAGCCCAAGCAGAGGCGTGAGTTGCCAATGCGCATCGTTAATGCAGGTGTATGCCATGTGCAACGATGCACAAAAATCGACATGAAACGTGGAAACTCAAGGTACCTCATAGGATCGAAACATGGAAATGCACTGTATCCACCATGCTAACCAGTTAGCGACAGTGATTCGCTGCTCCCCAGTCATTGTTGGGAAACATTCGTTGTTCCCGAGCGAGAGCGCTCCGCCACGCGCAGACGCGAGCGCTGCTCGCTCCTCCCTGCTTACCGCACACGCCTTTTGTGTGTATGTGAGTGTGTATATGAGGAAGGGTGCTTTTGTTGTGAGCCCGATTTGTCTCCGGCTACCAATATACTTCTCGACAACCCTCAAGTCGTCTCGCCCGTCACGGACCAGGGTTTCATCGTCACGTGAGGTCATGATGTGCCCATCCACACCCAGCACGCACCGAGACTTGGCCGGTTTCCTGACTTGGCCGGCTGTCGTTCGTGTACTGGCCTCTGTCCGCACCCCTCACCCAGTCAGCTCCACCTTCAACCGCGTGCGAGGGGCCTGCATGAACCTGATTATTGCCTGCTGCGTGACGTCACCACCCGACGCGCGGCTCGGTTCCGCGGCTTGACCGTGCCGCTGGGCCGCGCTCCGCCGGCCTTACTGTGAACGGTCACAGCGGCCTCGGGCGCTGCTATCGGCACGACTGCCGATTCGGCGAGCAGGCCGGCTCAACCGCTCCCTTGGCTAGGGATCGGGTCGGGTCACGGCGGCCTCCGCGCGGGGGGGGTGGGGGCGTGGGGGGGTGGGGCGGCCCCCGGCGCCGTGTGCGGAGGGGGTACGTACGGTCGACGCCGGCTTGCACATCGGAGCTCTAAACATCCGAAGTTTAAAGCCCAAGCTTCTGGAGCTCACCAGTGGGCTCAAACGTCACGACTACGACGTCCTTCTCCAATTTGAGTTGTAACTGCGACCCGCCACGTCCAGCCGACTTGTGGAGATTCCTGGGTACTCTATCAGCCGGGTTGTCCGCCCCAACGGGCGGGGCTACGGCGGTGTCGCTGTCATGACATGTCAGCATCATGTCGACCACACTGCGTCTGCCTGCGTCTCAGATTCAGGGCAGTAGGCTGGTGTCGCAGTGGGCACTGCCGAAACTCGAGCGGGGGCGTCAGCTAATTAACTGCTCTCTGTACCGTCCGCCCGGCACACAGTAGCTGCCCACCAAGACGACTCCACCGACCAGGAGGCCCAGTAGCAGCGCGTGCTGATTGGTTGCCCGGGAGTCCCGCTCTTCATCTGTGGTGATCTGACTTGTGATTTGGGAAGGACCACGGTGATGGAGCGCGTCGGCGGTTTTTGTTTTGTCGGATCACGCTCTTGATCAGCTTGTGACCGTGCCGACTTTCTTCACTGGTTCTCTTTTAGCTATGTGCATAGTTTAAAGTCGCCGCAGATGGCGTCGTTCGTAGTGATAACGTTTGCAATTTTAGCCCGCATAAATTCTTAAGCGTGTTGGTGAATGTTCGGAAACGTCGAGTTAAACCTACTGTTATTTTATCCCGCTGCCTGAAACGCTTCGGCATCGCTTTTTTAACCATGATCTTTTGTTTTGCTTGGGGAAGTTCACTCTGCCCCGGCCGTCAGCGATCAGTGAACTGCATTTTTGACAAACTTTTCACCTCTTGTTGACGCTCATGCTCTGCTCAAAACACAACCATTGGTAACCCCACTGCCCTCACCATCTCCGCCGCCACTCGTGGTTTCATGGCCCGCCGCCGGGCTGCTTTGGCGCGGTCAGGGAGATATCCGTGCGAGAACCGCGAGCTGTGCCGTGCCGTTCGATCCGGCGCCTGCAGTGATTGGCGCAGTGAGATCCAGACGGAGATTCCAACGAACAGGGGCCAGGTAGAGCGTGGCGGTGCATGAGGACGCTGGTGGCTGGGAAGAGGGACGGACAGTCAGTTTGACCAGACGCGACAGCTGATCGGCTGAACGAGTTTTGTTTTGTGTCAGTTGGCCGTAATCGGTTCGGACGCAGGGTGATGTTTCGGCCGCTTGCCAACAACGTGGACGTCTTCCAAGGCTCAACATTGGGCCACTGCTGTTGACAGTTTTCTCGAATGGCATGTCTTTGTACACAGACAAGGCGCATGTTTCTCAATATGCAGATGACACCCAGGTTTTGATTAGCGGTCCGAAAGACGACCTTGGGACTTCTCTCCCGCGTGGATACATCTCGTGCGTCACACAGCTGCTGGTTTCGTTCGAATGCCCTCAAGGTGAACGCCACTAAAACGCAACTTATCGGAAGTCGTCAAAATTTACGCTCTGTTTTCCGGACTTGGCCGTAACTTTTCGTGGCGCTGCGCTGCGACCGTGTACGGAGATGAGGAACCAAGTCGTTGTCTTTGACAGCGTCCTGCTCTGGGATTCACGCGTGTCCGAGCTCACCCGTGTGTGGGCGTGCTGATGGGCCTCTCCCATGCGCAGTACGGC